CTGACGATGCTGTTGTCAACGCGGAGGGCAGCGATGCTCCCAGTCCTGGAGAAGAGGGAGAAATCGAGGGTTCTTGGGGTGACTACAAGGTGATAAACAAGAATACAAACCCATGTAAAATAACATGCTAACACTCTAAAGCGTATCCTCACATATGCAGGCCCTACAGAGTATCTAATGCAAGGCATTGCTCTCATTGCCGCCATAGGTTCAGGTGCCGGTATCGCTCTCCAAAACCTCATCTTTGGGCAGTTCATCACCACAATCACCGACTTTACATCTGGAGATTCTCAGCCTAGCAAGTTCCGAAAAGAAGTTGCTGACCTAGCGTGAGTCCTTCGGAGTCATATCCCATACAACTCTCTCCTAACGTTCATACAAGACTCTACTTTGTGTACCTTGGCATTGGTCGATTTGTTCTCTCCTACATCTGGAACGTCTTCCTCACCTACTCATCTTACCGCATTGTACGCAACATTCGAAAGGAGTACCTTCGCGCTGCTCTTCGACAAGAGGTTGCCTACTATGACTTCGGGAGCGGCGGTTCCATCGCTACGCAGGCTACCTCCAACGGCCGCTTGATTCAAACCGGCATCGCTGAGAAACTTGGTCTCTTCTTTCAGGGCATTGCTGCCTTCCTCACTGCCTTTATTGTCGCTTTCATCGTGCAGTGGAAGCTGACTCTTATCTGCTTATGTATCGCTCCGGCAACCATCATCGTCATGACTGTTGTTGCTACGATGGAAGCTGTTCACGAAGTCAAGATCCTTGAGATTCACGGCCAAGCCAACTCGCTCGCTGAGGGTATCCTCGCTAGCGTGCGCACTGTTCACGCTTTTGAGATGCGAGCTAGACTCGTCGACAAGTTCGATAAGCATCTCGAGGAAGCTCACACCGTTGGAAAGAAGATCTCCATTCTCTTTGGTCTCATGTTCTCTGCCGATTACACCATCATCTACCTCGGTTTCGGACTCGCTTTCTGGCAGGGTGTGCGTATGCTCTCAACTGGCGAAATCAAAAGCTCGGGCGTCATCTTCACGGTTCTCCTCTCTGTTGTCATTGCGGCTGTTCAGTTGACCCAGCTCACCCCATACACTATCGACTTCAGCCGTGCCATGTCTGGTGCAGCACAGCTTTTCACTCTCATCGACCGAGCGTCAGCTATCGACCCCCTTTCCAAGGATGGCGAGAAACCATCGGAGACAGTTGGACATGTCGAGCTTGAGAATGTTTCGTTTGCCTACCCCACCAGACCTGGTGTCACAGTGCTTGAGGACTTCTCTCTTGACGTGCCTGCTGGTAAAGTCACGGCACTAGTAGGTCAATCAGGATCAGGCAAGAGCACTGTTGTCGGTCTCATTGAGCGGTGGTACAACCCCAAATCCGGCACTGTCAAACTGGACGGTCGTCCCATTGACAAGCTTAACCTCAACTGGCTCCGCCGAAACGTCAGGCTCGTCCAGCAAGAGCCTGTTCTCTTTGAGGGTTCTGTTTTCGACAACATTAAGCACGGGTTAGTTGGTACTGAATGGGAGAATTCACCTGCTGAACAACAGATGGAACGGATCCAGGAGGCTGCCAAGATGGCTTTTGCTCACAACTTCATCATGGAACTTCCAGAAGGTTACAAAACACAAATCGGACAACGAGGTGGTCTTCTCTCTGGCGGTCAGAAGCAGCGTGTTGCTATTGCTCGCAGTGTTGTATCGCAGCCCAAGGTCCTTCTTCTTGACGAGGCTACAAGCGCTCTTGATCCTCACGCCGAGAGTGTCGTTCAGCAAGCACTCGACAAAGCATCTGAAGGCCGCACTACCATCGTTATCGCTCACAAGCTCGCCACCATTCGCAAGGCTGATAACATCGTCGTCATGTCCAAGGGTTCTATCATCGAGCAGGGCTCTCACGAGTCCCTAATTGCTCAAGATGGTGCCTACGCTAAGCTCGTCAAGATTCAGAATCTTGCAGTCGAGAATGACCCCAGTAATGTTTCGGCTGACGAAGAAGAGGAAGTTGCCCCTGAAGGAGACAAGGAAGAGCTCGGTCTTAGCAAGACGGTTACCCAATACGAAACCCACGTCCAGGAGCGTCTCGAGGCTGGCAAGGAGCTTGGCAACTATGACAACCACAAACAAATGGGCATCTTTTATGTCGTTTATCGTTTGATTCGTGAGAGCCCAGAGGTCGCTTGGTCGTATTTCTTGGTTCTTGCGGGATGTTTAGGAGCTGTTGCAGCATTCCCCGGTCAGGCTATTCTGCTAGCACACGTTGTTGAGGTCTTCACCCTGACTGGTGACAGGATGAGAGACCGCGGCGATTTCTACGCAAGCATGTTCATCGTTCTCGCTGCCGGTTTGTTGGTGTCGTACTTTGCTCTTGGCTATGCTACCAACACCATCGCTCAGTTCCTCAGCCACAAACTCCGCAAGCAGAGTCTCCGGGATATGCTTCGTCAAGACCTTCAGTTCTTTGATCGCAAGGAAAACAGCACTGGTGCTCTGGCCAGTCGCGTAGACTCCAATCCCCAGTCGATCCTCGAGCTGATGGGCTTTAACGTGGCCCTTATCCTTATTGCTATTCTCAACCTGGCTGCCTGCAGTCTCTTGGCTATAATCCACAGCTGGAAGTTGGGTCTGGTGGTCGTTTGCGCTGGTCTTCCTCCTTTAGTCAGCTCCGGTTACTTCAAGATTCGCCTCGACGCCAAGCTGGACCGGGATACCTCGAACCGATACTCTACCAGCGCTTCAATTGCTTCTGAGGCCATCACTGCCATTCGAACCGTTTCTTCTCTGGCCATTGAGGAGTCAGTCTTGGACAAGTATGTTGATGAGCTGAACCAAGCCGTTACTGGATCAAAGAACGACCTTTTCCGAATCATGATCTTCTTTGCTCTGACTCAATCAATTGAGTATTGGTTCCAAGCTCTTGGTTTCTGGTATGGCTGCCGTCTCCTTTCATTTGGTGACATCTCCATGTACAATTTCTTTGTCGCCTTCTTGGGAGTCTTCTACTCTGGTCAGGCTTCAGCTCAGCTCTTCCAATTCTCCACCAGTATCACTAAGGGAGTCAACGCTGCCAACTACATATTCTGGCTCAATCAGCTCCAGCCCAACGTCCAAGAAACACCTGAGAATCGAGATAACGGTCCCAAGTCTGGAGGTCCGATTGTTTTGTATGATGTCCGATTCTCGTACCCTCTTCGACCTCATGCCCCCGTTCTCCGCGGTATCGACTTGGATGTCAAGCCTGGGCAATTTGTCGCGCTTGTCGGCGCATCGGGCTGTGGAAAGTCAACTATGATAGCTATGCTTGAACGGTTCTATGATCCGTCAAGCGGCACAATCAGCATTGCTAACTCGGCACTTCCCACTCTCAACCCTCGCCTCTACCGCCGCATCATTGGTCTGGTTCAACAAGAGCCAACTCTTTTCCAGGGTACGATACGAGAGAATATTGCTCTTGGTGTCGATGATCCAGAGACCGAAGGTAAGGACCCTTCCACTTCGGTTCCTGACAAGCGGATTGAGGCAGCGCTCCGCGCAGCCAATGCATGGGACTTCGTTTCGTCTTTGCCCGAAGGCCTCGATACACAGGCTGGATCAAACGGCGCGCAACTGTCTGGAGGACAGAGACAGCGAATCGCCATCGCCCGAGCCCTGATCCGTAATCCCAAGGTCCTTCTCCTTGACGAAGCTACAAGTGCACTTGACACGGAGAGCGAGAAGATTGTACAAGGCGCATTGGCAGAAGCAGCGAAGGAAGGAGACCGCATTACCATTGCTGTTGCTCATCGCTTGAGCACAATCAAGGAAGCTGACAAGATTTGTGTTTTCTTGGGTGGCAAAATCACAGAGTCGGGAACGCATCAAGAGCTGCTTGCTCAGGGTGGATTGTATCGAAAGATGTGCGAGGCACAGGCTCTGGACAGTTAGATGTGCTCTGTGTGTATGGACTTGGGGACTAAAAGTTATAATCGTTAATGATAGCATCCATAGATAATACCCTTCAATATTGATTCGTTTGGAAATATAGTGGTCATTCAACCCTCTAGGGTAGCCTCTATATACAATTGCCATGGTTAGATCTGTTGTCTTAGTTCGGGTAAGGAATGAGCCAAGACTACGCCCAGGGGTTACAATCCCAGCCGTGTCCAGGGGGTGACCTTGTTGTGAAGCAAATTTGATCATATCTACTCATTGGATGTTCAATCAAAGGCGAAAGATTTGGGTCTGGATTCCAGTCGTTGATGGGAAAGTCAGTCAGACGAGGGGCGGATAATCCACGGTTCCACATGGTCAGACTACCTACACCTACTGGAAGGTAGAGGACTCGGCGAGCTCCAGCACACCATGCAAGGTGCATATGTGAACGAAAGAAAAGAGTACTAGGGATCAAAGCTCTAAAACGAGCTGCTATCTCTTAATGATAAATGATAATATTTAGGAAACTCAAGAAATAAAAAGAAGTTTAGAAGTACTCTAAATGATATGCCTAACAAATCCGAGAGCATTGTGAATGTCCAACTATATCTCGTCAATTGAGGACCACTTGGTACAGAAATCCATCATCATCCTGCGGCGCCGAACGGGTGGCAGTTGCCTTTCTGGGCCCCCATATTTTGGTTCATGCCAACTTGCACTAATGAGAGATCTGTACTGTACTTCCAGAACGTTTCCCTCCCAACCCCAGCAAACGTCTCCTTCATTACCCAGATGATCATGGCGAAAGGGCGACTCTGACTAAACGCGACAATACACAATTTGATTCTTGTATACTAAGTACGAAATTCCTCTCCTGGCTTCTGATTTGCCTTATGTGACAAGGCCCCCTCTACCCCCTGAGGTCGCAAAGCTCCCGTCCTAGCTCCGCGCAGATTAGCTTGCTCGGCAGTAGCCCCTTTGTACTGAAACCGTTCCGCTGACACGATTTGCAAAAAGTACCTATTTGCTATTGGCACTTCTTTCCTTTTCACCCTACGAGCCAACGCCCGAATCGGCTTCGCGATGGCTTCTGAATCGCCAAAAGCGACAGATCTGGCCACGATGCCAAACCATCCCGATCCTACCAGCTCCACCCAGGCTCCCGCACATGCGACGTCATCTACAACCCCAGACGCGGTCGTCCAAGCCGATGTGCCTACAAGTCCAGACGTGTCGTCACAACAGATTCAAAAATCTTCGGAACAAGATGGCGCTGCTAACGCCTGGCCTTCACACGAGGATGACGGCCATGATAGCAATGACTGGCTAGCTTCCGATGATGCAGTCCCTAACCAAACACAAGAGGAAACTGCCTCCAATGAACCCGAACTCGATGTCGCCTCACAACCAAAGGCGCCTGTATCTCAGCACTCAAGTTCCATGTCATTCGCTCGTACAGTATCTCACGAAATCAGCTTCGGAGACGAGGAGGAAGGTGAATGGAACTTAAGTCGCACTGATACGGACCCTTTTAAGTTCATGCCGCCTACCGACCGAACAAACTCTTTCCCACCTGTACCTCCCGCCCACACAAATTCCGAAGTAGAGGATCAACAACCTCTTCCTTCCAATCAGGCCTTGGACGTCTTAGAGGAAATCGAGAAGGAAGCGGATGCAGAGGAGGAGCTATACCAGCGAGAGGAGACGACAGATGGGCTAGAAGCTCCTAGGCGAGGACACTCCTCTTCTATATCCATTGGTGGAGATTTGAAGAGTCCGGAGGGCCAAGATTCTGATGAACGATATGAAGAAGGGATGCCACTTATCCCCCCACCCGAGGAAGAAAGGCATAAGGTTCCTAGTGAACAACCCAACCACACTTTAAGCGACTCGTTCGACGATAAAGCCGAGGAAGGTGATGATTTCGTCAGCCAAGTTCAAGGCTCCGAACAGCCATCTGATGAAAAACCTACCCCGGCTTTGGAACGAAAATCGACAATGCAGGTTTTGGATTCCATGAACGCAGGCGCTATCTCGAACAAGTCTGCACTTGAGGGAACCCCTGAAGAGGAAGAGGAAGAGGAAGATGAGGAGGAGGAGGAGGAGGACAGTAGTGATGAAGACGATGATAGTGACGAAGACAGCGAGGAGGACAAAAAGGCAGCGCAGCCTGCGCCAACACCTGCTTCATCTAACCCTGCTGCTGCTGCACCCGACTCCTCCCCAGCTAAGAAGGAAGACCTTGCATCAAAATGGGAACAAGCTTTCGCTGATGACGAAGACGACGATTTTCTGCTTGAAGAGAATGCGGGAGATGACAAGCAAGTTGACCCAGCTGCCTTCTTTGGAAGTGATGATGAAGGCTTTTTGGAGGATGAGGAGCCAGCCCCAGCTCCGGCTCCGGCTCCGGCGCCTGCCCCTACTTCACGTCAACCTTCTGGCTCCAATCCCTATATGCCGCAGGTACCAGCTCCTCACCCAGCGCCATCTCCGTATGCTCCCAGCATGCAAGTTCCCGCGGCTGCTGGTTCCCAAATCTCGGCATACAACACTCCAGCACCTGTCGTAACACCTTTCGGTACATCTCCTCAATACGGTCAGCCTCTGCCAGCACGCCCTGATATGTCCAAGGCGCAAAGCTTCGCGGATAAGTCAAAGGGAGGTTATCACTCACCGTATGACCTACCTACCGATCTTGTCACCAACCTGGTTAAGCCTCGAAAGAGGGCGAGCATGCAACAGCTTTCCCAAGCTAATCAGCTTCATGCTCCGGTCCAACCTCCGCCTAGAAGTGCGAGCGTTGGCATGCCGGCTCCCCCAACGAGACTCACTCCTCCTTCTTCTAGCCATGGCCTACCCAGCCACCAACAATCTACAGCACCTCCCAAACCCACAACTCCTGGTGCCCAACACAAGGAGAACTTCTTTGAGGAGTTGCCCCTGACATCTAGACCACGGCCTAGTTCACGGACAAGCCAGAGGGCTCTGTCTCCCGCCCGAAATGCGCCCCCAATGGCTCACGTTCCACATATCCCTTCGCCATTAGTACCCGCGGCGCCAAATCATATGGTTCCGCCACCTTTTCCCGCTACGACGGTCACCCCTGGTGAACCACACAGCGATTCCACCGGTCAGCCGGCTCTTGTTCCCGGCGCTGGTCTGGTTGCACCTGAGAGAGTCAGTCCTTATGCTGCCCTGACCACTTCTGCCAACCACATGCCACCCCCTGCCTCGACAAGCACCTCTCGATATTCTCCTGCACCTGGTACAAGCCATACTGCCCCACCCGCTCCTGCAAGCAGTCGTTATTCACCGGCACCTCCCGTTCCCAAGAGCCACGGTTCTTACGGAGCCGTGGCAACTGCTGGCCCCGGGCCTGTGCTCCCACATCAGCCCAGGACTTCAAGCCCGTTGACCCATTCTGAGAGTGCTCACTTTGAGCCAAGGATGAGCCGAGTTTCGTCTCTGCCACCCACACGTGAGGTAGATGAGGAGGATGAGCAACAGACTCCCACTAGATCTGCGAGCGCTACTCATGCCATACCTCATTATGATTCGAGATATAACCCTGCATCTCCTCCAAAATCTACGCAGACACCACCCCCTCCAAGCTATGCTGGCCAACTTACCCTCTCGCCTCCCAAGCAATCGGGTCCGTATGTGCCCCATGCCCCGCCAACAGCGCAGGCTGGCTTTGTACCACCTCCTCGCGCTCAGACGCAATCGCCAAGCGCATCCTTCGGCCATAAGCAGGCTCAGAGGTCCTCAGATTCAGCACGCCGACCCTCATCTGCCCACTCACACTCCTATCCTTCTCCAGTAGGCGGAAAGCCAGCCCCTTCACCTTATGCTCCGGTGGCTCCCACTGCTCCAATGGCCCCAGCCCCTGGTGTTTCAACTGTCCGTACTCGCGGCCAGTCTATCACAATGAACATGGTTGCGCCCACTGACGGACGGGAGAATGATGAGCTCCAGCGATGGAAAGGAGTGCCTATTATCTCATGGGGCGTCGGCGGTACTGTCGTCACCTCTTTCCCCAAGAGTGTTCCTCGGTATGGCATGAACCAGGCTGTTCCGATGATTGTACGAACACCAGGAGAAGTCAAGGTCCAGAGTGTCAAGGACATTGAGCCGTTGCACGAGCATGTGGCCAAATTCCCAGGTCCTCTCAGGGGCAAGTCAAAGAAGAAAGAGACCATCGGATGGCTCAGTGCTGGAATTGAGCTACTCGAAAAAGACCTTCCGGATGTCTCTTTTCACTCCCAACTCTCTCTCGAGGCGAAGAGAGCTGTCGAGCGACTACTCCTATGGAAGATCATGCTTATCTTCATTGAGAATGATGGAATACTGGAAGGTAACCCTGCCGTGGAGGCAGCTGTCCGAGATGTTCTTTCGCCTGCTGAAAATACATCGTCCGCAAGTGACGATGCGCTTTTCCCTGCCGCTGCTAGTTTTGATACAGGAGTACCCTCCGTTACCTCAATGCAAGCCGATGGTGTCGATGTCTCATCCATGGATCAGATTCGTCACCATCTCCTGAGGGGCGATCGAGACAAGGCTGTTTGGGCTCTTGTTGATAAACGACTTTGGGGTCATGCCATGCTGATCTCACATACCGTGGAAGGCGATCTTTACAAACGCGTGGCACAGGAATTTGTTCGTAAAGAAGTAAACTACCCTGGCCACGCCAACGAGTCCATGGCTGCACTGTACAAGATTCTTTCTGGCAACCTTGAAGATTGCGTGGATGAATTAGTTCCTGTTCATGCTCGGGCTGGTCTTCAACTGGTGTCCACTGGTGGGGGCTCAGGACCTACCAAGGATACCCTCGACGGATTGGACAAGTGGAGAGAGACTCTTTCTCTTGTCCTGAGCAACCGAAGCACGGATGATATCCAAGGATTGAATGCCCTCGGAAACCTTCTCTCTAGCTATGGGCGAGCTGAGGCAGCTCACATTTGCTTCATCTTTGGCCGCCATGCGTCTATTTTCGGTGGTCTTGACGACCCCAACGCTAACTTTGTGCTCATTGGAGCTGATCATAGGCAACAATCTGACCAGTTTGCCAAGGAAACAGAGGCACTCCAGCTCAGCGAGATCTATGAGTATGGCCTGTCTCTTGCAGGAGGAGCTCTTGCAGCCGCAGGCACACCCCATCTTGCTGCCTACAAGCTTGAACATGCAATGACTCTTGCTGAGTATGGCCACCGGGACAAGGCAATGCAATACTGCGACGCCATCTTGACAGCAATGTCCTCCCAAACTAAGCGATCGCCATATCATCATCATGTTCTCGAGACTGCTGTTGAAGACTTCATGTTGAGACTGAAACAAGCGCCGAAGGAGGAGAGTGGCTCATGGATTTCCAAGCCAAGCATGAATAAGGTCTCAGATAGCATGTGGAACCGATTCAATAAGTTCGTCGCAGGTGATGATAACGAGGAGAACAATGGAGGTACTGGGGAGGCAGGCCCGTTTAACCGCCCGTCTGGAGAGTTTAGTCGTTCACCGTCGGTTTCTAACTTTGACATCTATGGTCAGCAGTCACCTAGCTTCGGCATGACACCTGCCCAACCATCGGCAAGCATTGCAGCATCCAAATACGCGCCGAATGTTTCGACGCCCCCTGCTTCCGCGAACCTTTACTCTCCTACATCTCAGTACACACCTGGACGAAGTTCTACTGAATATGCCCCTAACTCATATGAGCCTTCCTACCCTGGTGCTGCCTCGACTGACCGAGGTGAAGGCTACACCCCTTCCGTTCCTCCGTCTGAGCCGACCAGTGCTGGCCTTAGTGGACCGGCAGGCCTTGCACCAGCTGCTCAAATTACGCAGGGTTACTCTCCTGCTGGATACCAGCCCTATGGAATGCCAGCATCTACCCCGATGGGCAACGATGAGACGCCTGCCGATAGTTCGTCGCAGGGGTTCCAGCCTCTCAGTTACGGATACGAGCCGCCTCAAGTGTCCTCAAACCCACCTGAGCAGGCAGGTGAGCACAATACTGGAGAGAGCGGTAATGGCGGCTACGAGCCGCCTTCATTCCAGCCTTACGGTTATGAGCCTCCATCATATGAGCCTCAGTCCACTGCTGAGGGCGACGATGAGCAGCCCAAACCTAAGAAGAAGAGTTTCATGGATGACGACGATGATGACTTCCCTTCCATGAAACCTGCCGAGAAGTCCAAGGCGGATAAGGACCGGGAGAATGATGAGATGTTCCGCAAGGCTGCGGAGGAGGATGGTGAGTTTCCTTTTCTTATCGATATGATACATGACTTACACGTTGAACAGCCAAGCGTGCAGCTGCCCAGCAGTCGCCCAAGAAGGGCTGGGGCTTCGGTGGCTGGTTTGGAGGAAGCAAGAAAGCACCCCTTGAGCAGACCTCCTCTGGCGATTCTTCTCCTGGCAAGCCCATCCGGGCGAAGCTGGGTGAGGCCAGCAGCTTTGTATACGACCCTGAACTAAAGCGATGGGTCAATAAGAAGCCAGGCGCCGAAAACACACCAGCCAAGACTGCTACACCTCCCCCCCCCAGGGCTGGCCCTCGATCTGTCTCTGGAACCCCCCCGCCTCCCACCGCCACTCCCCCCCCACCGTTGGTAACGAGCAATAGTGCGCCGCCACCCCTCATCCCCCCCAAAGTTCGAGCTGGAACACCAGAACTGTCCAAGCAGGTATCGACGGAAAGCCTGGGCCTCGCACCCCCTGCTATGGTTCGATCCGTTTCCAACACTAGCAATGCCAGCGCACCACCCAGTCGGCCGACGACAAGCATGAGCAATGCCAGCAGCATCGACGATTTACTCAGCGTGGCGCCTCGCAAAGCTAGTGACAAGAAGAAGCCACGAAAGGGTGGTCGATATGTCGATGTTATGGCCAAGTAAGGCACGAACAGATGTCATTCGTTTGGATTTGAAATACCGAGTCAATTTCAGACGTTCTTATTGGGATTCGTGCTAGGAACGAATCGATTTGTATTAATAGTTAGACTATTGTTACGTTTTGTATTTCTGCAATGGTTTGAATTGTAGGTGCTGGCCTGGGGCGACTGTACACAAAGTATTGAGGAAGCGGACCAGTTGTAATGTTTTGGATCAGGAAGAGAATAGACCTTAATGCTACCATCGAGAAACGATTACGACTCGAGGAGATATTCGACAAAGAACGATAATACGATAAAGAATTCTGCCGTTGCCCCCCCCCCCCCTCACTGTGTGCTTTGACAGATATACACTTTTAACTGAACGCCCAATATAATGCCAAAATCTTAGAAACCGCTACCCAGGTCCAACGCCTGAAACATGAAAGGTCACCATTCATCTTGATGTGTTTCACATACTATATGACTGTACATAGTACTGGGATTCTTAGCACACAATTGACGGGACTGGGGGCAAACAAAGGGCAAACTCACTGTCACGACAGAGTCATCCGCTGTAGCATCATCGTAATGGGGCACATAGACGTAGAGAATCAACGCATGGTCGTCAGCAAAACAGGCAATGACCCTGCCTTCCAAGCGACCAACACTAAGGACACGGCTCCAGTCCTTGCCATCGACACGGACAGTCGCCCAATGATTGGGACCGCCTTCTCGAAACTTGGTACTTGGATGCTCCTCCACGGGACAATCGAGCTGTGCTGGGTCAAGCTCTGGGTTTTCGAGATTAGACCACACACTACAGATATCTGTCGTCTCGGTTGCGATCCGTAGTCGTAAACCACCGTGCATGTTGGCGCTAAGCTCAAGTTTCGGTGATTTCGTATTAGCGGAAGAGCCAGAATTAGAGGCCATAGCAAGCTTGGTGAAGCGGTCTGAGATGGCCTTGAGCTGAAGAAGAGGGGGCAGTTGAATGTGGACGTCTGGTTCTCGTACTCGAGGCTGCATGATAGTCTCAACCGTTTCGGGGTGGAGGACACGCACGGGTATGTCCTGCGTAATGATCTTCTCATGCTCTCGCCTCAATGAAGTCTCGAGATGCTCTGCCTGAAACATTTCATCGTCATCGAATGGGTCATCACCAGCGGCTGTTCCTGAAGGTTTCGCGGCCCCAGGTGGGTTGGTAGCTGACGTAGTCGTTGTGATAGTCATTGAAAGAACTGGCAGACCGTCTTTCTTTGTGAGACGTAAGGAAGCAGAGATACTGTTGAGCGCAGACTTGAGGGCGCGTTGAAGTGGTTGAAGGGGAAGCTCCAAGTTAATAGTATTGCCTGCCTCGGCGGACTGAATGTGATAGCCATCGAAAATGAAGTCCATGGCGAGAGACCTTGATATTTATGAGCAATTACATAAGACAGCCCAAGAAGGAAGAGCACATACGCCCATACTTGAGATCCCATGTCTGGGATGACGGTGAATCGTGCAGTATCATCGCTCAAGCGCAACCAGGCAATCTTCTCAAGAGAGCCAAGTGCAGCTGTAAGCTCTGTGATCAGTATTAGCAAAGCTTGCCCGAGAAAAGCAAGAGAGAATGATAGAAAGGCCCAGGAATGTGTGTATGAGTACTTACTTGCAAATGTGCGAATGTTTTTCAGCTCTGTACGAAAACGCATGTTGAGGAGTCGCAATGATAGAAATGGTGCAAGTAAATGGAAGGGAGATTGTTATGGATGAACGCCATACCTTCCAGGTAACTGACGTAGACGAAGTGATGCAAACGCTGGAAGCCGTAAATTGTGGGTCTAGGTGGCTGCCTTCACCACTATCAATATACATGAATTGGTAGGAATTTGATCTTTGCCTAAGGTAGAGGCATGATAACTTAGGTAGGAGAAATCATACGAACTTGTACCTAGATATTTTACAAGCCTTTCCTATGTTGATTTGTATATGTAGAAATCCACCCATATATATGAAACAGTAACGCCTATCGACCTTGCAGATATTAACAACAGACACGCATGAGAGGCAACACTAAGTGCAATGAAAGACGAAAGACCTACCTCAGTACCTACCTGACCAAGTACTACCTACTTTAGGTAGGGTAGGATAATTGCAAGATACCTATGGACAGTTATTTGCAAGATAACCTACCTACTAGGTAGGTAGGTACTAATCCAGGTTCATACCTGTCAAACCCCAATGTTCCAATGGGACCCTCTCAAATGGTGTTAAGATAGGCAGGATATCTTCCCGTTTGAAACTTCCTCCTCTGCATAAAAAAAACTACACGACAATAAAGAAGGTGACTCTTTCCAAATAAGATAGCGAAATGGGAGTGTGTCCAATGCTCGATCGAGGGAAGCAAGCCCATAAAACAGACCCCTTTGATTTAGAAACTCTCCTTTTCTTCTTCTTCTTCTTCTTCATCATCATCATCATCATCATCAAAACACATCGTCAAGATCATCCCAGCTACCATCTTTTATATCTAAACTTTCACTTAATTGTGCGTTCGCCCATCACTCCAGACGCTATGAGCAATTTCACCACTCAGACATGGATACTGCGAAAGCACCCCGTGTCACAGAGTCTTCCGGGCAACACCTGCGGCGCGAAGACATGCCGCCTGTTTCACAAGTCCCCGAGGTTCAAAACCCTGTCGAGGCTCCATCCTCAGTCCCAGCTGAAGGAAATGCTGGTAACAAAGCAAAAAAACACGCCTTCAAACGAATCTGGAGCAAAGTCAAAGGTCGAATATGTCCAAAAAGTCCAAGAAATGAGGAAAGACACTTCCGTCTACGTACTGTACGACAATTACCTCCAGCCCACCAGCGTGGACCATCAGATCCGTCAGGTTTTGTAAATTTGGGGAGACAAGATCCCAGAGCTCGCGATCCAAAAGTGGTGAAATACCCTGATTCAGGCCCGGACCGCTGTGTCATGTGCAATAAGCTACTCCATGACTTGACCAGCGATTTTGACAGCTGGAAGCGCTGTGAGACTCGAGTCTATCTTCCTTGCGGTCATCCATTTGGCCACCGTTGTTTGCACAGTTACCTGACCGAACGTCTAAGGTCTCGAACTCCAGAGAGTGATGCTATCATTGTTGGAGGGGAGCATTACTGTCCAATGGGGGGCTGTATCCCCATTCGACACGAGTGTGACCACCTTGCTATTCCAACATTCGAACTTCCGGAACCCAGGTACGAGGACCAAGAGAGCCAAATTATACCGCGAGAATGTGGCTTTTGTTCATCTGATCCATGCGCCAAAAGGAGGATCAACCGTAAGGAAGAATATTCCAAGAAAATGATCCCATCGCTATTGCCAAGGCAACATACCTATCTACCAGAGAGTATGATTTCTCGTGCTAGAAAGGCCTAGCGCGCCTGGTACGAATGGAAGTTCCTTAGGATCAACCGATTGTTGGATGATGAATGGCTTTCATTTCGCACGCAGCATTTTCAGGCATGCGAGGCACGCAGATACACATGGCTGAATAACGTCATAGAGTCCCCGGCAAACAGGGACCCTCAAAAACAAAACGCTATCAGACGATCCATTGGTGCCCCTGAGATCGCAATCCTCCCGGGTCAGCAAGAGCAGAGTAACCTGCCCACAGGCCCAAGCACCGAGATGAGAGAGAACCGAAGCCAGGCTGACACAATAAAACAAAAGACAGCTGAAATCCCTGCAGTAGTTGGGAACGCTGACGATCCTGATGCGATCACTCCTGCTGAAGCTCCCACTTCGTGGAAGTTACCTGAATTCGCTAAGCAACTTCCTTTCGAAGTTCCTACACCAGGAGATCCTACACCAGGAGAGACGGGCAGATCTGCCGTGGGGGCCGCATCAACTAATGGCACCGTAGGAAGCAAGAACAAGACGAATCCCACAGCCACCAATGGCACCGAGCCTCGATTGCCCATGCACAAGGCTGCCTCGGATCCAGCACTGGGCTCCATCGACAAAAAGACCAATGCTGGTCCGGGGGGAGATATGGCTGGGGAAAAAACCGAAATAGGAGTGGTTCTCCCTGATCCACCGAAGGATGATCCAAAGAAGTCAGCCAACGAAACAGAATCAAAGGCAAAGGGGAAAAGGAAGGTTGCTCAGCCGATAGCTGCATGACCATATTCTAGCTTCTGTATCAAGCGGAAGACTTGGCTATGGGGGTGGTATCAAGGACCTGGGGTTTTCTCTTTCACTTCAAAAAATGGCTGTATATATCGTTGTTGGTTGTGCCTTGAAACTGGTGCGATTTTGGAATCTTGGATGAAGAGCGATACAGTTTTAGCGATATGATTTTAATGATTGAGGCAGACAGCGACGCAAGCGATGAATGAATAACAATTTGTTGCTTCAAAGTCACATGAGACTATGAAGAATACTGCCGTATAGTAAGCTGCACGTCATGTTCTATCACTGGAGAATACTATGTGCGTGAGAGTTGTTCGGTATTACTAAATTCGTTGATCAGCCATTTCCACATCTCGGCGAGATATGCCCAGGCAACTCGGGGTATACTTGGATTGATTCGAGAAATGATATCAATAGGACTACCGACTTGAATAGCTTGTCCTAGATTGATCTAAGCATTTCAAATCTTCAAGTATAACTGACTGTTTCTGCTGTCGCCTCACATATACGCTCTGCTTGAAATCCATCCATATATAGATAAGGTATTTCATAAATCCGAAGGGTGCAAGAAACGCATTGAATTATAGCATTATGACCTAAAATTATTCCTTGCAAGCCGGTCTGGCTCATCGTCGCTGTCGTCCCTAAAACCCTCTTCAAGACTGCAAACATGATGTCAGTCACTGTTGTAGGTGGGGACGTGCAACAAGGGTTCCGGGTTGTTTAACAGCAGCACTTACTCTCTACTTAATCGCCTGGCGTTGTCTGGCCGTGCAGCACGAGTATCAGCCTCCATCTGGCGCCACGTATCCTCGTCGACGCTCCCAAGTTCCTCTCCATCATCGTCTTCCAGTCCATCATCGGAGACGTCCTCGGATGCGAATGCGACTGCGCGATTGGAACGCCAAGTGGCTATTCGGGACGTAATGCGCTGTCGCAGAGACGATGTCTGGGAAGAGAGTGTGTCGAGAGGTAGATACTGGCTGTATCGGGCATATCGACGCCAGAAGGGAATGAGGACGTATGTGAGGAGGATGAAGAGTATCAAGGAGATTACAGCGGGAACAATGAGCGTCTAGTAGCGATCATGCGGATGTCAGTAGGTGAGGAGCAAGGAGCAAGTTGTCATGATGTGTTTGTTACCTTGATAACGGACATGGTAGCACCCATGTTCTATATATCGGAACTCAAGACGACAGTCTCGCAGTTCGGCTCAGCAAGTTTCGAGGCCGAAAATGAATGTCACGATGTTGAAGCTGGAGGTTGCCGTGATCGCCCTGAGGCTACAGCGGGAAACGTGGCTGAAGCCACAAGGGCCCAGCAGGAGGTGACGACGCCGAAGATCCCGCTAAAAGGGGCGGGCCAACAGAACCTAAGCCGTTCAGACTTGCAGGGGGACCATCATCACTAACGGCTATACAGTATTTTTCTAGAACGATCTCAATAATCTCAGCGATACATTTCCTGATTCCTTAAGGGATGACAGTCTTTTTTATGGCTTGCCTTAGTAGATAGACAGGTATAGATAATTATCTGTCTAGGTACCTACCCTGCTACCTTAGGTACCGACCTGAAAGGATAGAGGTGAGGTACTATATCTTTCAACTCTTGCATTAAGGACCTAATATATCGTAACCTCATATTTACTGCATTATCTCGATCACCGGCACTTCAACACGAGCCATTAATTTAGCGTATCGCTGTTCACATGCGCATAATCTTCCATCTCCATGGGACACGTCACCATCGTATGCTATCTCTATACGCTGACACACTGCAATCAGAAACTGGCACTGAACGGAATGGGGAATTTGAGACAGCCGACCTCGCTTAAGCATCAAGAATAAAACAATCTTTTGATGGACATATAGGTCTCGATCTGGTGGAGATGCTCAGAGTCGCAGCAGGGGACTCGAGACAGATGCGTAGTTCTATGAGTAATTATTACTTTAGCTTCTGAAAGATAGATGCTTTGACAAAGAAGAGACTGGCAATTATTTTTGGTACCGCGTCAAAATAAACGGTCGTGTGACTGATCTCATCGTTCGAGGATTGTTACACGTTGGCGCAGCTGAAAACCCCAACTAAGAATAGTCATGAACCATTTATAGGATGATGGGATTGGTTCGCAGCTGAAAGACCTGGTGTTATTGCACCATATATTGATCCCAGTAAGACTTTTTTGTGCGACGCCTCACTGAAAGGTAACTCAAATGTCCCAAGCCTCTGGTATTGCTGTATCACTAACGGTGACAGATTTCTGTCACTCGGGACTCCAAGGACGACAAGAGGTTCTTTCTATGAGCGTAGCTGCCTCCAGGCTCACTTTAGGTACGCTCCAATTTTTCAACTTGGTTTCCTCCCAGGTTGACATGCATCTGCGCGTCCTCAATCTACAGAGCCCACTTCCCCTGGCAGATCTCCTGATGCTAAAGAAAACTCCCCGCCTGGCGTCGATGCTAAAAAGTGTCTCTCAGACCAGTCACAGGGCTACTTGGGCATAAGGAGCATCCATGCATGATTATGCTATGTACATAGCATTATTCACAAGGCGATTCACCAATATTACGATATACCTATACTTGCTGATTGGACTGTAGTGACTTTTCATAGTACTATTTTACTACATTATCTATCGAGTATCAAGATATACCCATATCTCTAGCTTTGGGCCGTGCAGGCATTCTCAACCTAAGAATAAGAGCTCAAGCGGCGGCTAAGCAATATTAGGTCCATCGTCCCCGTAAACAAATGAACCAATCCGCATCCATCTTGATAGACCCTCGGCTTGGTCCTCAGATCCCTGATCATAGAAGGATCCATTGGAAGCCAAGTCATTCCCATCTCTGGGTTTGGGCTGGCTAACTACTGCCACCCGTACACTGCTACACTGCTACACCACACTGCACGACCTACCTAACTCTAACGTTATACGACACCCAACCCGACTGCAGCTGTGCAGTGACACGCTACGCTCCTTATTTTTCACACCATTTCGACTTAACTCGGGTTGCAGTTCAATTAATTTAGTTTCATTCCATTCTGGCACCGCTCATTGAAACATTCCGTCTGCATCATCCATCCAAAGCCCAAGCTTAGGCCTTTTCTTTGTCCTTTACCTTGCTTTACCCCCTCCCTATCTACGCGGGTTTCTTCACACTCAACCTAACTCCAGACGACCAAGGTTTCAGGACCGACCATAGCGCTTCTGCCGATTCGACTGACGCTCCGGACCCCGAATAACTTCAATATCTTCCTGAACGGCGATATCGTGCCCCCGATGAAGCGAGCGGCCCTTGGCCAGCATATCGCCAACTTCACGTGTTCAATTTGGTAGCCGTTGGCAGACGTTTCCCCAGGCTCATCGAAACCCTGGCACCTCCTTTTCTCCCTTACTGTACACCCCGGATCGACACCAACACAGGTATCTTCGAAATACGATTCGCAAACTAAACCCTCCGCTTCGACGACTGTCGCGGCCACGACCGCTCTGCCACACATACCGCCGTCGCTGTCGCCGTCGCCATGTCTGACAAGACGAGGCAGTCCTCTGGCGGCCGGTCTTTATTCTCACGAAGTAAGCACAAAGACAAGCGCTTGACTGAAGAATCGAGATACCCCGCAGACGATGCCGCCAGTTTTCGCTCCTCGCGCCATAAACGAGAGTCGTCTGCCATTTCGTTGGATCGCCCAGAATCTTCTGATGGCGGTATCAACCAGATGGCAGGCGTAATTACGTCGATACCCTACGATGCCGTTGGAGGTGGATCACGCTCTCCCATACCCGTCGAGTATCTGCCCAAGGGCGAGCAGATGCCAGTGCACCGTGAACCTCTTCCGCACCACCTGAACAAAAATGGCCTGGACTTTCACCAATACCCGAGCTGGGATGGGACGTCGGCACAGTCTGGTGCCCATTCCCCTGGGCGACAACCTCTTGGATATGGATATGGCAATGTTACTATGGCTTCAACGGGCCGTCAGACCCAGTATCAGCAATGGGGTCCGCCTAGGGGCAGCTCTTCCCACTCGAATAATCCCCCCAACCCTCGATACGACTCATATATGTCATCTAATGCTCGGGGCTCGGCTGATAATCTGAGCATTCAGTCAGGTAATACAGGTTTCATTGATGGAAGGATATCACGCTCACCACATGTAGCTATGCCCAGTGCCTCTTCTCAGAGCTCTTATGCTGCTTCTCAGCACTCGAACCGCGATTCTCACCGGTTTACCAAATTTCC